AGTATCAAAAGCCGCTGAGAGGTCCAAAAGAACAAGGACAGAGGAATAACCTCTGTCCCGGGCCCTCCAGAGATCATTAACCAACGCGACCAATGCCGTTTCCGTGCTGTGTCCCGGCCTGAAGCCCGACTGGTATGGGTCTAGATAGACTGCTTCATCCAGGTGCCGAGGGAATTGCCGCGCAACCACACTCTCAACAGCCTAGTCAGAAATATATTAGCCATACAAGTGTAGCTGCCATGTATCTGAATCCTTAGGCAAATACAGACAGCCTCATGCCTTCAAGGTGTTTACAATTATAAAACATACAATGACTTCCTCTATTGGCTGGGATTGATGATGATTCCAACCCACAATATCTACTAAAGCAATTTTTCTCCCACCTCCAGATTCTTGAAGTACAGATTTTGAAGTTCAAGGCTGGAGGGGTTCAGATATGGGAGTGCTGCCTTAGAACATTATTGGATTGGATGGTCTACCAAGAACTCTAAAAAAAATGTTTCTAAACCATCAGATGATGTCAAGTTAATGTTGAATTGAATTCAACAAGAACATTATAACTCAGGGGTCCCCAACCCCCAGTCTGTGGACCTGTACCGGGCCACGGCATGCCAGCAATCAGGCCGCACAAAGAAGCAAAGCCCCGTTTGCGGGATGCAGGCAGCACACAAAACCACATCCCCTCCTGTCTGCAGAAAAACCTTTCTCCACATAACCGGTGTCCAAAAGGTTAGGGACTCTGTTATAACTGAAATGGAGAATACGAAGAATACCGATACATTGCTTTAGTCAACCACTTTATTATTTAATTTATTATTTGCTACTATATTAGACCATTCATTGAAATTAGGAACATTCTAAAATGAGTTCCTTGTCAGTCTCCTACAGGTATTGGCTGAACATTTTAACGTTCAAAATACTGATTCTTTATTTCAGGAACTGCCTGACTCAGCAGAACACTCACAGACATGACAGAGAAATTTTTATATTAGTTTCCCTATTACAGATAAGAATGTAGAATATCTATCTACAGAAATAAATAAGGGCTAAAGCCTATGTATAGGTTGTGTGTTCCAGATTTTAAACCATTTTCAAGTCAGCCATTTTTAACATAAAGATTGCTCTTAGTGTAAAAACCGCTGGTTCCTACTTTCCTCCTACAAGCTTACTCATGTATAAATAATTTATCCCATGAAGTGTGAAATCCTGCTCCCTTTTTCTGAAGCAAGCAGCAAATATATTTATTACTACTGATATTTATAATAATCTAATAATAAACTTTCTCTTCCCAATATTTCTTTGCACATGTACTTTGGCTGTTTTTGAAAAGTAGGATGGATAGCACCTAGGAGAGATTTATGTTTGAATACCATACTTGAGAAATGAACCGATTAAGAAAAGGGATAATGTATGAATAGAGCCTTGGAAGGTTTGTCCGCTTTTGGAACAATGATTTGTTTAACACCCTGCAAACACAAAGAATCAGTGCCTAGAAACACACACACACACACACACACACAAAGACTGCCGCAAAGCTCGGTATAACATGTTCTTATTCATAATTCTGTTTTCTTATCATTTGGAAGAGGCTTTCAAATGTGTTTTGTTTAAGGATTTTTCATTGCTAGTAACATGTTGATGGCTTATTTTCTGTTTCTTTAACATTGTCCTTGGATCCTCCTCCCTAAATTTTAATACAGTACTTAGTATTTAGTGGCATTTAGTTGATACTTTTTTGATCCTCTAAGCCAAGGGTCCTCAACCTTGGCAACTTTAAGACTTGTGGACTTTCAACTCCCAGAATTTTTCAGCCAGCTTAAAGTCTTAAAGTTACCAAGGTTGAGGATCCCTGCTCTAAGCCTCAGCTTAGACTCAGAGTAATGTAATGAGTGTTCTATAAAGGAATTGTAGTACGGTACTTGTTTTGGTTCTGGGTTTTTGTTTCTTCATTTTGTTAAATTATAAATCAGTCTAAGAGTTGCTCTGGCTTCTACTTCATAAAATCTTTTATATAATGAAGTACTTGTTCTTATACAATTGTGTACAGAGCAGAACTCAACTCTCTTTTTATGATTACTAAGTTCTCTCTGACTCTGCCATAATATTTTAGTGGCAAAACTGCTAAAGCTATGGTGAATACCAAAACAGAAAAAAAAAACCAGGGCTTTTTTTTATCATAGAACGCCCAGAACGGAGTTCTGGCACCTTTTTTGAATGGAACCTTGTAGAGTAGGCAAGGTGGGTTGTATGACGTGTGAATTCCGGCACCTTTTTTTTTTCTTTTACAAAAAAAGCAATGAAAAAAACACTGTGAACCATATACTTGGTTTAGCAAAAAATATACTTCCCTTTCTCCTGAACCCTAGAGAAATATCTCAGTTTCACCTGTGTGCATAATATTACCATATCCACTTGTGTATAAAAATGTACAAAATGTCATTATCATTGTCCAGAGTGCTGGGCAAAGACCATGCCCAATAAGTAAAAATTTGAATGACTGTTTGAATATATAAGGAATTTAAAAACTTCAGTACAATCCTATCCTAAACCTTTTATCTGAGGACTGAATCATGTTTAAAATAAACCTTGAATGAGTTGCAAAGTGATGGTTTGATACTGGATGTGGAGTCCTGAGAACTCGTAAAACCATCAAATTACTGTCGTTACCTTTATATAATCCCAAAGGGATAGGTTGAATGGAGTTATTGGTATCTGAAATAGAATCCTCCCCTCCCCCCAATATTAATTAGCTTGGGTCTCGTTGGCATGAGAAAACCATTTACCAATGTAAATACACTCTGGATCTTTTGCAATATTCAGTGCCATGGTTACAAACTGGTTCTCTGATGATGGCTTTGAAGAATTTAAGTATGTGCATACACAATTTCTAACCTTTGTAAACTTATAATGGAAATCTCAGTTATACAGTTACATCCAACTAATTTATAATGTGTACTAGTAGATTAATATCTAATATTGAGTTGATGCTAAAAAGACCCGGTCAAAGAAGCTAAAAGCTCTGCAAAACAAATCTTGGTTCAGACACTTAGAGAAATATATGAGTTTGAAAGACTATGGAATGATAATAAGCAATAAAATGATAGCATATTGTTTTTTAGAGAATTCATCTTCCAGGAAAGATACATTGTTTATAGTGATTCATTAATGTGCCTTGTTCAAGGAACAGTAGATTTGTGAATTGGTCTGGGCACATTTTATCTTTGAGTTACTACTGTTAATCAGAAGTCTAAAAATATCATAGAAAATGAATGTTGCAAAGAAGAATTATAAATATTTTTGTTTTGCATGCAAAAGCAAAACGAACAAAATTTAAGTGTGTTTATGATTAGATAGAAATGTGATTTATTAAAAATCTCTCTCTCTCTCTCTCTCTCACACACACACACACACACACACACACTCACACACACACACACACACACACACACGACAGAAAGGCAAACATTGGAAATTTGAATGGCCAGAGGGTTTTTTTTTTTTACTTTTACTGACTTGGGTATGTAGCTACAAAGATCCAGTTTTTCTTGGAGATATAGAGTTGGCAAGGATTCCTATGCAATTGCCAGAAGATCTTCTGTATAATTCACAAAAAATGTTTGCTTCTCATCATGCTTACTAGAAAGCAGTACCAAGTGTGGAGACCAGAAGGTTTATGGCCTGCTAATAATCAGTTCATATATTAATGCTAGTAATGCATGAATGCTTAGTTTCTATTAACTGAAAATTTTGTAAGATATTAAATAATAAGATACAAACATTCTTACAGTTGTTTGCTTGCAGATGTTTCATTACCAACTAGGTAATGTCATCAATATACTGAGTGTGAGGTAACTAGGACACTGTGAGCATTCTAAATCAAGCTAAATCCCAAAACTCTAGGGCACCGGTGTCAAACTCGGTCGAGTCACGTGACATATCATGACGTATTGTGACATTATTTGTCTTTGCGGAGCCGGCGTGGCCTGACACATCCAGACCGCGGGCCGCCAGTTTGACACCCCTGCTCTAGGGACTTCCTGTAAACTTGGCATTCAGTTGGTACAAGTCAGCTGATTAATAATCAGCTGATAATTGGCTAATAATCAGCCGGTACAATTCAGCCATCAATAAGGACATAGAGATAAACCATATGTATACCCCATTCAAGAGACAATAGAAATGCTAATAAGAAAACAAAAGGACCAGGACACATGTCCAACAAGCAGGAATTAACACCAGACAAACAAACAGGCAGAAATCAATACCCTAATCAAGGAAGTACTAAAGGAAAAACCACACCCCCACCAACACTGGCAGGGCAAGCTACTGAATATCAGTAGGGAGAAAACCCCACACTCACTAGTACTGATGCTATTACTTAATTGGGTAATTAAATGGCTGCAAGCAAACAATCAAATTCAGAGAGCACTGTAGACTCCACAGCGACAATTGTTTTCAGAACTGTACATCACCAGTCAACCAAGCAGAAATAAAGATTACATCAAGCTCTTGGCCAAGTTGTAAAAATTTCTATTGAGCTTTATCAGGTAGACAAATCTGGGACTTTTGTGACTATTTTTGGCAGAGATTTATTTTATAATCACAAAGCTTTCATTTTTTTTTCTTCCCCAGCAAAAGCAAAATCTAAATGTGGTTCCACTTTCTTCCCATGTTCCAGTGGAATTCATTGTATCATTGGCCGTTTCCGGTGCAATGGTTTTGAGGATTGTCCTGATGGCAGTGATGAAGAAAATTGTAGTAAGTATCTACTACTTAAAGGAGCAAGTTTTATTTTTTGAATACATATACACTATATTAATCATTTATCCCTTATATGATATTTGTTGCCTGCTTTTGCTATTGAAAAACTGTCGCTGCTGCATTTTGAATGCAAGTTTAAATCTGAAAACTTTCTCCAGTAAGTGTAACATCCTGAGAGTTACATAGACTCGTGAAGGCAATATAGTTATTCAATTAACTTTGGCATATAATTTCTGTCTCTTTTAGCTGCTTTTAAAATGCAGTGTTGTGATCAAATTTGTAAGGCATTTACAACTGATTTTTTTTTTCAAGGTTAAGGTTAGAAAGAGCAGGTGAAGATCAGAACAAGCATTCATAATGAATAAAAAGTACATTAAAAAAAAGTTGTTGCAAGTTGCTCTCTATGTTATTGTGCTGTTATGCGTTATGTTTATTTTTTTACTTATCTTTCATCCTAGTTTAGATTTAAGTATTTCATATATCTACAAGTGCAAAATGTGTTACGTTGCTTTTTGACCTTATGAATAATATATATTGCTTAGCTTTCCAGATTCACTACAAGCACGGGAAAGCTCTTTTCTGTCCTTTGCATCATCTCTACCATTGCCTGAAGGCTATATCTGAAAGAAATATTGCATTAAGGTTGATAAATACTGAAAACTCTCCGTTGGAAGACTTGATTAATTTCATTTATATTCTTTTGTTATCTCAGTATGGTTGGAGGTAGGAGGTGGGTTCTCCTATTTTTATCCCACAGAAATAATCCTGTTAGGTAAATTGGGAAGGGAATCCAGTGAACTTGAGGACAAGGTTTGAATCCCCTATTCCCTATCCAAGTCCAGTATGTCAGCTACATTTTACTGGGAAGAATTCAATAAAATGAAAGCCATTTAACGCATGGAATGTAATAATACTACAACATTTGCATCTAAATTCCAATAAAAGTATGAAATCTTTTTGTAGAAGCTCTGTATGTAATAAACACGGTAACCAGAATTAGGAAAACTGATGAAAACATGAAACACCTATTATTTAATGGGGAATTGATACAGAAAGCAAGGCTTCCAGCTGTTAGCTCTCCAGTTCCAATGAATTCTTAAGATGAGGTTAGTATACTATCATGAATTTTTTAGTTACAGCCTTCTCTCATTTTCTGATAAGGAGGAAGTTACAAAAGAAAAACTTTCATTGCTATGTTCTTTCTTGCAGCTAGTTATAAAAGTTATATTTGTGCAGGTGGTTGAATAGATCTCATAATGCTGTGACCTAAATACAGTAATTGTGCACTGCAGCTGTAAGGGGGAAAAAGGTAGAGTGTTTGACTGATTTAGTCACATTTAATATTTTGGTGACAGAATCTCTTGCTAGAGGAGAGCACAGAGTTGCTTCTTTAAAAAAACATTTGATGACAGTACTTTTTTTTGTAATTTAACAAGAGGAACCAAGAGTTCTGCAGTAATCTTTAGTGGATGTGTGAAACATTTCACAACTCATTTCAACTTCAGTACGGTTGTTCTATATGGTCAGGATGTTCTCACCATTCTGGTAGTGTTCTGAGTGTCCCCATTTTGAACTTATACAGTACAATATAATATCTCCATTGCTCTGTCTTTTATCAGCAATATTACTATGGCAGCTATACCATATTATGCCATATTATGGAATATACTTCTGAAGGGTCAGAACACACTTTCCCTTCATTTGTATTCATAAAACCTTTTTCCAATGACTTTTAGCTTCAGCTGCTTTGATTCATGGATGTTCTCTAATAACTTTATTATTATTTGCAAATATGGTTTATTTTTACACTGTCAAATACTAGCAAATGCCATATGATTGGATTGGTTAACCAATACAATTAATTAAAAACCAAGAGTCTGTAGAACAATTACAACATTGAAGTGCCTCTGCTTACAATCTGTGAGGACAGTGACTATTGAGTGAAAGTTGCAAGGTAAAAGTTATAAAGCTGTCATAAAACTAATAACTAAAAAAACTATAGGTTAACAAAAATTAAATATTAGTTAAAATTCAGGAGATGAGTAAAATATAGTGAGATAATATACTACCCAAGGAAAAATAAAATTAAAATTAAGTTGAGCAATATAAGGTACGAAATTGACAACTAGAGACTGCAATATAATAGTTGGGCGTATGTCACACCTGCTTAACTGGCAATCCATATTTGGTGAATGTTATATGCTTGTAAAGCTTGGCTGCTTTATAAGTTAGGTTTTTAAGAGAGACAGAGAAGAGTAGGATGATGTTAATTTGATCTGATGTAAGTTTGATCTGTGTAACCTGGTAATTTGGTAAATAGTAGAAGAATAACAGTACTGTGCATGTTTCTGTAAAATGAACAGGGAAAGGAGCAGGGCAAGCTATTTCAAGCTTAAAACATTTTCAGACCCTTTTGAATGCAGAGCAAATGTCCTGACTGCATACCCAGCAATCTGAGTTTAAATCATCTGGAATTTGAAACACTTCGCTATCCTCAGTAATAGTTCCTTACATCTCTCATTTTACCTTTTATTTATTTATTTATTCATTCATTCATTCATTTACATATTTTGCTTGTTTGTTTGTAATCCATCTGTTCAGCAGTGGCAGTCACTTGGAAGTTTACCTGTAAGCAGTTTCCAGAGCCAAAGTCAGAAGTGAGGGTGGAATCATAGTTAGGCCATGGTCCACAAAACTCATGGGTCAGTTGAATCATTTGGCCCAGATTCAAAGTAACACAGTTTCAGGAGCATAAGAGTTAAGCTTTCAGCATGGGTGAGCAATTGTTTCCAATGAGGGATACCAAGCTAGCAGTGGATCTTAAATATGTGCCATGCTGGTGAAACTAATGAAAACTGGGAATTCCCTTGACATGCAAGGAGGCATGTCAAATACCACTGATGTGTTCTCATTACGTGCTTTAAAACTAGCTGTCCTCTGACAGTAGGCACAGCTGCTTCTGATGACTGCCAGGTGAATCAACCTCAGGTACTTGAATTCTCTGAGCTTCTTCAGGCCAATCCAGAACAGACTCCTCAAAGTCCTCTAAGTTAGACCTGGTCATGACAGAAACTTCCAGAAGAGAAAGGAAAAAAATGGGGATGGGGACAGAAACCTGGGGTTTGACAAATCTTCAGGGTTAACAGGTATCTCTTCTTACAAAAGGTCCATTACATTGAAGTTTTATGGTTCCTGCAAAACTACAATATAGGTAAAAATAAAAATTGCTATTACTGAATATTTTGCCTTCCAAAAAACCGAATTGAGTAGTAAATCAGTTTTTGTCTGATGTTGTCTGCATGAAGTGTCAGTTTCCTAAGCACAATAATTGTATGATGGAAAATTCACTTCTCCTGAAACTTGAAATAATTTCACGCATTTGACATATACTAAGATAAATAACGACATGGAGGATAAAAACAGAAAACAACTTTCCATCTTATTTCTTTCTATATTAAAAGATGTGATCTACTTTTCTATGAGGCAATGTCAATCTCAGAATGCTTCTATAAGACCAAGATGTCCTGCTTTAGAATCAGGCTGCATCTCTTAACAATCCTAAAACTGCAGGAAATTTGAAGGCTGTTAAAGGACCCAGGCCATATTGCTTGTTAGTGTTTCAATTCTATATATTGCCAAACAAATTATATAGGTTAGTCACAAAAAGAATCATTACAGATCAACATTTAAAATATTGATTATATTCAATGTGGAAGCTATCACATGTAGAATTAGGATCCCCTCTACATATAACTGTATTATAAGCTTGGAGAGTGGCTCTTTATTGAGATCAAGAGTGAGTAGAAGAGAACAATGGCTGTTTACCACTGCTATACACATCTTTCTGGAAGGCCAGTTTAGTGTAATTGTTAAGACATCAGCCTAGAAACGGAGAGACAGACTGGCTGACTTTGGGCCAATCATACCTTCTCAACCCTAGGAAAGAGACAGTGGTAAAACACTTCCAAAATCTTGCCAAGAAAAGGAAGGACTTACCCAGTAAGTCAAGGAAGGACTTACCCACCAGGAGTCAAGACTGACTTGAAGGTGCCGCATACACACATCTTTGTAGCCCCTGAACAGCTGAAATGTTTTCACTCTAGGAGAAAGTGGTATGAATGCATATGTGCCTCTATGTACAAAAGAACTTGCTAATAGAAATTCAGCCTTTGGACTGTTTTAAAGCAGACTTAAACTGGTATGGAAGAATATAATATATGGTTTTCCATATATAGTTGGAATGGGTGCTTAGTTGCATAATTTCCCATTCTTCAGTAGAAAATTGTTCTATATTTAAAATTCCTCTTATATATGCCTCTTTTAGCTAAGACTTTGGTTTAATAGTTATCAAACATGCCTTCGATTTTTGAAGTGTATCACCATACAGTTCTTCCTTGGAGGCATTAGTCTTTCTGAAGTCTTATAACCATAACATTTATTTTTAAATCATTTTAGAGACAAAAAGTACCTTTCTTTTTACTAAATCACAATCTAACACAACTTAAGACATCTATTTCTAGAGGTTACAGATTTAGCATCGCACATCATTTACACATTCAACTCACTGACACATTTCTACATCAAGGTTTCTCTTAACAGGTCTGTCTGAATCATGTGCAAGTAAGAAGAAGTGTGCTATTAATATCAAATAGAGCCTGGGCCTTCAGTATCTTCCTCCTTTTACAGTCTTATGAATACGTATTCGTGTATGCACTTACACAGTGACTTTCTTCAGTATTTTCTTAGCTTCTGTGTCATTTTCCAGAGGTCTACCTTAAACAACAAGGAATTTATGTCTCTAATGCTCTTAAGCTTATTATTCTTTCTAGCTTAGAGTTCCACTGAAACAATATCACTAGAAACTGTGGTTAGAGTTAGGGTCAAGTATGAGGTTGCTTTCTGTCAAATTACCTTTTTGTCTTTTCACAGAAATATTTCATTTGCCAAATCCTTTAGAAATTTTCTATCTTTGATTCATTAATACATGAGCCAAATTAAACTGTCCCTCTCACAATTCATCTGCTTCTAAACTGTGATACTGGATGCACTACTGTGTTCGGGAGAAAGAAAAAAACTCTCAGCTAACAATTTAAAGCACAGATGGTATAGAAGTGCTTTTGGGAATAATGTCTATCAAAGAGATATTGCAAGTTTGAATAAAATATGCTTTTGTTTCCACAGCAGCAAATCCTTTGCTATGTTCTACTGACCGGTTTCACTGTAGGAATGGCCTGTGCATTGATAAAAGCTTTATGTGTGACAATCAAAATAACTGCCAGGACAACAGTGATGAAGAAAGCTGTGGAAACTCTCATGGTAAGTATGAAATTTAAAACATAGTTTTCACACTGAGATGCCTCTTAATTAACATTGTGCCATTGGTGGGTGTTTTTTTGTTTTGTTTTGTTTTTGGCCTGTATTGGAACTGTGAAGTCTTTTGTATTATACAAATAGCATTAAGAAGTTTCTGAACAGGGGAGTCTTGTATATCTGCATTATTTTTAATTTAATTTCTAAAATCGGTGTGTCCAGCCCACAGGCCACATGCAGCCCCACAAGATCATAACAAAATGCAATTCAATGGTGAAAAAACTAAGATTCTACTTTAGGCAAGAAAAACCAAATGCACAGGTATAGTATAGGTGGTACCTTGCTCAATAGTAGTAACTGTGAGTGGGATCTTGGAATCCTAGTGGATAATCACTTAAATATGAGCCAGCAGTGTGCTGCAGTTAATACAGTGCTAGGCTGTATTAACAGAGGGATAGAATCAAGATCACGTGAAGTGTTAATACCACTTTACAATGCCTTGGTAAGGCCACAATTGGCATCCAGTTTTGGTCACCACTATGTAAAAAAGATGTTGAGACTCTAGAAAGAGTACAGAGAAGAGCAACAAAGATAATTAGGGGGGTGGAGGCTAAAACATATAAGGAACGGTTGCTGGAATTGGGTATGTCTAGTTTAATGAAGAAAAGGATGAGGGTGACATGATAGTAGTGTTCCAATATCTCAGGGGTTGCCACAAAGAAGAGGGAGTCAAGCTATTTTCCAAAGCACCTGAAGACAAGACAAGAAGCAATGGATGGAAACTAATCAAAGAAAGAAGCAACCTAGAACTAAGGAGAAATTTTCTGACAGTTAGAACAATTAATCAATGGAACGATCTGCCTCCAGAAACTGTGAATGCTCCAACACTGGAAGTTTTAAAGAAGAGACTGGACAGCCATTTGTGTGAAATGATATAGGGTTTCCTGCCTGAGCAAAAGGTTGGACTAAATGACCTTCAAGGTCCCTTCCAACATTATTATTATTGTTGTTGTTGTTATTATTATTATTATTTACATTAACTATATTATTTATATGTGGCCCAAGAAGATTCCTCTTCACTCAATGTGCCCTAGATATATAGGTAAGCCAAAAGGTTGGAAATCCATGTTGTAAAGTATGGGATGACTGCTTTGGAGAGAAAAGACAACCTTATATAATTTTTGATTATGATTGTTATAGTTTGGGGTCAGTAGATTTTATTTATCCCTTTTTCAAAGTAAAATATATACCCTTTTTGAAAACAGTAACAATTGTAGCTGTAAGGACTACAAGAGTAGCCTATAATTTTATATATAAAAAAACAAATAAATAAATAAATAGACATTCTTCTTATCCTAGCAATACTTAAAGGAATAATAAAATACCTCCGTTTGTAGAAGTAATATATTGTAGTGCTGGGTATGTTTGTTTTTGTAGCATTTTAGCAGTTTTGTAAGTGTTACAGGTAGGGAGATTATAAAATGTTCTAGTTTGAAACATCCGTTTCAAGTATACCAGACTTGATCAGCATTCATGGTTATAGGAATTGTTAGCTCAGAGACTTGATGTGAGTGGAAAACGCCTGGAAAGAACTGGGGATTTCATACATACTGTATCAGCAATAGACCAAGCATACTGAGAAAGAAATGAGAAAATGGAAAGTGATGGAATTTGAAGGAGAGGAGAAGATGCAGTCTTATTAATTTTGCACACAAGCATACAGAAATGCCCAGATTTATATGGATTCTTCTCTATCATTCTGAAAAATAACCACTGCCTATTTTTTATTGTGGATAAAAATCTATCGACATTTTAGAACAATCTTATAACAAGATGATTTTTAATTTACTGAAGGTCTAGTTTAAGATCTTGAACTTGATGATCTAGTATTTGATTTTATGTAGCACAGGATTAAAAAAAAGAGTTTAAATTCTAGCTAGTCTAACTTTTTTCCAGTTAGTGTACACAGGTCAAGAGATTTATATTACCTCCATTTATATAGACAATCATATTCTTATATCTATACACAAAGGTTTATACACAAAGCTTGATACAGTAAAGGGCAATGATAAGAAGGAAGCTTATTCCATAACTTCTTAAATAACTAAATAAATATTTATATCATTCTGACAAGTTATTGAAATCTTAATAGCAATAGCATTTAGACTTATATACCACTTCACAGTGCTTTACAGCCCTCTCTAAGTGGTTTACAGAGTCAGCCTATTGCCCCCAACAATCTGGGTCCTCATTTTACCGACTTTGGAAGGATGGAAAGCTTAGTCAACCTTGAGCTGGTGAGAATCGAACTGCTGGCAGTGAACAATGAGTTAGCCTGCAGCACTGCATTCTAACCACTGCGCCACCATGACTCCTTTATAAAGCATAAAGGATATAAGGATAAAGGATAAATTAAATAATATCTTCCTCTATCCCAAGCCCTTTATTTATTTAGGTTACATTGGGATACTAGGCGGTATACACTATTAAAACAATTAAATATACAGACAAAAGGACAACAGGCACTGAGATAAAATCTTCCAACAGTATCTAACAAGAACCATTTTAATCACAAAGGACCCAGTATCAACTCTTAACACCAAGCCTAGGCAATGAGCCATGTTAAGGACTCTCTTAAACAAGGTCATGGTGGGTCCCCAAAAATCTGTAGGGTGGCATGTTCCAGAAACTGGATGCTGCAACAAACAAAGTATATTTCCTAGGTCCCATCAGATAACACTGTTTAATGGATGGGACCTGGAGCATGTTGACTCTGCCTGATGACAGAATGGACAGAAACTATAGAATACAGATGTTGGACAGTACAATTGTTTTGCTTAGGTTTTTTTAAAAGTAGTTTTCAATATAGTAATCAGTGCTAAATGTAAAAGAAGATAACTATTATAACCTTGCAAAGATAATTTTATGAGTATTTTGAAAATCCACCCCTCGTTCATCCCAGCATAGATTGTGGAGGCAACACAAGAATTTGTTATAAAAATGAAACATTCAATTAGTATAGGAATTTAGATTTCTATTTGTGGTTTGTTCCATTGTATTATGAATAAATTATAATCACATTTCCTAGGAATTATTAGCAATAAATCAATGAGCTTAAATAAATCAATTATTAGCTTAAAAATCAATGAGATGCTATGGAAAGAACAATTTATGTCTCTATGGAGTCTTTCAATTATTGCTACTTTTACTGCAAGAATATACTAATGTATATACTAGTTACTTGAATGGATACCATTTCAATGTCACTTTTCTCATTTTTACTTTTCTCTAATATATTAACAGTGTCCTTTCTAATCGCTAATTTTGTTTTGCCTAAAACAAAACATTCTTTTCAGCTCAGAAGTAGATATTTTACTGCCTTTTATTAATAAATCATATTTTCTGTTACTTTTGGACATACAGTATTTAGATAATACATTCCAAAAAGCCCCTCTGTTATATCCTACAGATGATTTTATTTAGAAAGAGTCCTTATACTTGGTATTCTATTTGGGAGATAAGTTAAACTATTATACATTTCTATTTTTCACTTTCTTTTTTCAAATCCATTTATTATTAAAATATTTTTGTATTACCTTGGGATTCTCTTTGTCTTCCCAAGAACCTCACATTATACTTTCAAACTGTTTCCTTAATCTTATCATGTATTCAATAGCTACACCCTGATGTCTTGGATATTTTCCAAATGTAGATTATTTTAAAACAATCTTTCAAATAAACACTATAACAAGATGCTATTATAACTTTTTCTGGTGGAATTCTATGTGTATATGTTTCTTAAAAACAGTTATTTTGTTCTTTTGGCTACGGTAAACACATTTTAATTTTATTGGCTTGTATGGTCCTTAACTGACTGATTCTTGCAGTCTGCTGAAGCATGGTAATATCTCAATAAAGCTATTATTAGTTTAAGGGTAGCATTGTTGATCTTCAAGCCTCATTAATTGTTGTTTTACATGTTTTGTTACTATGCATTTTCCTCTTGATTAGCTTCTTATTTTTCTCCTCAATTTTTTTCTCAACTTTGTTTGCGCTATTAAACCCATTGTTCTACTGAGACTGCTCTCTCATCTCCACTGTCAATCTTCTGTTTATAATAAAACTTCAATTCCGTAAGGTAGAAGAGATAAATGATCCATTAAAAGATATACAATATGATGGCATTTGAGCCAGTAGTTATCTGGGCTCCTGCTAATAGGGGAAAAAAATCAGATAAGGCTTTGTAAAGCGCCACCAAGTGATATGCATATTATTTGGTTAGGTAAGTCATTCTGCTTTTATTTCCAATTCAGTTTCACAAATGCACTGGAAGTTTCATATCTCTGACATCAACATTGTGCTTTCAATCTGAAATATTCTTCCCTCCTATCACTTGTGGGTTCACTGTTTGTGACCATGCTTGATCATAACAGAGATTAAATAAAAAATCATAATGATTGTATAAAGCCTTTTTTATCCTTAACCTTGGCCATTAAATACCAGTTCCTTTCCTCCCTCCCTTGCTACTGCCCATCTTATTTATCAAATTATAATAACATAATGGATAAAGGTCCTCTAATAGATTAGTAATTACTAAGTAGTTGGAAGCAAAGAATAGAAAAAACAAGCAGAAACCTTACAAAAAGTAAGACTGGCTTATAGTTTATTTTCACCCTCACTGAGGTATACCAATTAGAGTGTTTTCTTCAAAATGTCTTTTCCGCTTAGACAAATATAAAGGTAGTCCTCACTTAATGACTGAATGAAGTTATAATGGATTCTCCAAAAGGTAAATTATGATCCTATTCCAGTGTATTGATGGTGGCTTGGCAATTGACTCATCTTTATGGCTAGTTGCCGTGTTCTCCAGTCTTGTGACCACAATTTACAATGTTTTTGCTGGTTTCTGGCAAAAAGCATCCATAAGAGAGAATGGATTTGCTTAATGACTGCTATATATCCTTAACAACCACTGTATTTACTTAAAGTCATAAAATTGGGTCAGT